GAAGTGCTCGTGGTGGTCCTATAGTTTTGGATGTGCTGCATGCCTTGCCACATACGCCCGGCGTCAGCATTAGAGTAGAAACAGTCTCTTGGCCGCTGTAATGGCTTTTCTCAGTCCGTACTTAGCAGCTCTGTACTCTGTATCGTTGCCTGATGTAAATGCAAGAGATCGAGCACGTAGCATGTGGCGTACCGGACTGTTTATCCAGGGCTTCTGGTTGGGGAAATTCCTGACTTGTATAGTGGGTACAATGTTATCAACACAAGTGCTAATGTACCCAGTCACATACTCAGCATAATCCTGTATGCTGACAGAAGAGTCCTCCAAAGTGGCTGCAGCTTTAAACACATCCCAGTCTGTCAGAGCAAAACAGTCCTGCAGGATGCCCTCAGTTTGTAGGGTCCAAAGCTTAACCTGTTTGGTGACAGAGTTTGTTTGTTTGAGTCTTTGTCTGTAGGCCGGCAACATTAACAAAGAGATGTGGTCTGAGTATCCAAAGTGGGGGCGTGGTGCAGCCCTGTATCCGGAGGTATAATTCAAGATGGTTGGCTGAATTGGCGATGTCCAGTAATGCCTGTCTGTTGTACATTAGCAGTGCACTGCATTTGAGCACGGCAGATAAAACAGAAAACAAACAAAAAAGAAAGAAAAACCGGCATTCGAGAGCGGAGCGATCAAACACGTCTGCCTCGGGGGGCGCCATCTTGCATATAAGATATGCAAGATATACAATAATCAAGTGTCAGAATAATAATAATTAGAAATGGATGAACAACCAATTTGCATGACAACCTAAATTCAAGGTCATAATAAAATGGAGTCCGATTAAAATTTAACTTAACTTAAATTACTTTGTGCACTGAAAAGACGGAACATGCAGGAAACCTTCATCCACTATTGAATACCTTTGTCGGGCCAATTGGATGGACCTTACACAGCAATTTCAAGTTTCCCATTTCTCTGTAAAGTTCTTGAGCATGTGGTTGTTGGCCAACAGCAAAATCATTTTCCTATGAACAGATTACTAGAACCTTTTCGATCAGGGTTTAGGTCTGGACATAGTACGGAGACTGCTTTAATGAGGGTCATGAATGACCTCCTCATCTCAGGTTTTTTTTTTTTTTTGTACAATTTGTTTTTATTAGATCTTAGTGCTGCATTTGATAAAGTGTGTCATATTATTTTGCGGGTTATGGCTATAAAGTGGGATTGGACTTATATTGAACTAAGAACATTCCCAATTTGTCTATCTGGGTACTAGCAGATCTCAGACTGTGCCATTACGACAGGGTGTCCCTCAGGTGTCAGTATTGGGTCCTACTTTGTTCAGTATCTATTTGCTGCCTCTTGGGCAGATTATCCAGAAGTATGGTCTGGGTTAACATTGCAATGCTGAAAATACCCAGATTTATTTTAGCACTCAGACTGTTTTCCTTTCTGCCTTTTCAACTCTTTCTGCTTATTTGTTGGAAATAAAGGTGTGGATGAAACTTATTTTTTTAATTAAACTGAAATTTAGTTTTATATTACTACATATTACTAAAGTTACTTTTTTCATCTCCAGATTATTAGACACTTTTAGCCCCTTTCTTTCTAGGCCTGATGCAGAAAGGCTTATTCATGCTCCAAGAACTGAGTTTGGCACCTCTGGCATTTAGGATCTAGAATACATGTTGTTAGTTTTGATGTTTTGTGTCTAAATATTTTGATGTCTGTTGCTTTGTGGCATTAAACTGGGATTAACATTTATGTCTTTTTTCACCTTAGATGTGATGGCACTGAAAGAGGAGTGTGAAGTACTGAATGAAATGGAAGAGAAAGAACAGTATGATAAACACTGTGATGTCATAACTGGAGAAATATATTTTAGTTGCTCACAGACTGAAAAAACTTCCTCACGAAAAAGGGCTCAGAAGACGGGGACTAAAAATTATTTAACCTGCTTTCAGTGTAGAAAGTGTTTCAATCAACATGGAAAGCTTGAAATCCATGTGAGAATTCACACTGGGGAGAAGCCATACACATGCCCACAATGTGGAAAGAGTTTCAATCAAGATGGAAACCTAAAAGTCCACATGAGAATTCACACTGGAGAGAAGCCTTACACATGCCCTCGGTGTGGAAAGAGTTTTGATCTACTTGGAAAGCTTAAAGTTCACATGGCAATTCACACAGGAGAGAGCCCTTTTACATGCCAACAGTGTGGAAAAAGTTTCAAACAAAAAGGAAACCTTAATAACCACATTAGAATTCACACAGGAGAGAAGCCTTACACATGCCCTCTGTGTGAAAAGAGTTTCAATCAAGATGGAAACCTTAAAGCCCACATGAGAATTCATTCTGGGGAGAAGCCTTACACATGCCCTCAGTGTGGAAAGAGTTTTGATCTACATGGAAACCTTAAAGCCCACATGAGAATTCATTCTGGAGAAAACCCTTTCACCTGCCAACAGTGTGGAATACGTTTCAATCAAAAAGGAAGCCTTAACAGGCACATGAGAATTCACACTGGAGAGAAGCCATTTACCTGCCAACAGTGTGGAAAATGTTTCACCCGAAGAGGAATCCTTAATGACCACATGAGAATTCACACCTGAGAAAGGCCTTTTACCTGCCAACTGCAAGGAATAAGTTTCACTTAAAAAGTAATCCTTAACAGGCACTTGAGGATTCACACATACAACAATACATATACATACAAATGTTTTTGTTGTAGAAATGAAGAGGACAATAAAATAAAACAAATATACAATTGAAATTAACAGTGCTTTCAAATTTTCAGGAAGATCTACTTTCAGTAGTGTTCAGATAACGAAATAGCCTACAACAGAAATTGACTAAAGTAATCAAATGTAAATGTAAATCAAATGTATCACTGTATAATCTTCATTGTATAAATTGATCGATGAATGCTTACTTAGACAATACATACAAGTACTTTGGGCTTCGGGTACATGCCTGCTGCTTGAGGAACAATGTCTTTTTCACAACTTAATGTACTTTTAATAGCTCTTTTTTTGTTTATCATCAAGCACATCCCACAGTTTAACAATAGTAGACTGCATTTTATGGCAATCACTAATTTAGCTGATATGGATGTTAAGCTTTTTTTCGAAGGCTTGATTGTGTTTATGGGTGCAGTGTAACATGTTCATGCTTCGTTTTTAAAAAAATCATTATTTTCACATATTTTACCTTTATTCTACACCACTGTTTCCGTTCTCGTCAAAACGGTCTGTCGAGTTCCTGGTTCTATGAACCCCATTCCCTCAGAAATATGCAATGGGCTTAGATTGGTTAGCTGGCTCAGTGTGTTGTGATTCGCTAACTGCCTAATGCACGTTGTCCGGAAATGTCACACCCCCTTAACATTACGGGTAGTTGCATGTTCATGTGCAGGGTTTATGTAAACATTAGGATTAGTGATGCCACAAACCTGGGAAGAAGCTTGTTGTAGTCCCTACCAGCCTTTTTTTGTAGTCCTTAAACAGCGATTTCTTTAAAAGAAATATCTCCCTTTGCATTGAACTTTGCAGATGTTATGTTCTAACTGCAACATTACACACTAACTAAAGTTAAAAAAGTGAAATCATAATCAACCACCCCTTTAAGGGAAGAACAAAAGCATTGAAGTGGGCTGTTTTTTTTTGTGAATAAAAGGCTAATTTGTTTGGGGAGGCTGTTTGTCTCCATGTACATGGCCAGAGACACCTTCTTCTCCTGTCCCAGATAGATTGTGTGCTATGTATTACTGTTGTGCTTAAAGCCACTTTGCTTTAACCTTGTTGATGCTGCTTTTTCCTTTGTCATTTGGCAGTTGGAGTGGTGGGTGGCAGTTAATTTATTTATTTTTCTTGTTTTTATCATATTCTGGTTTTGATTGGTTAAGAAGAGAGGGAATTTTTTTTTTTGACAGTTTTTGTTTTATTTTCAGACAATGCCAGTCTTAATTAGTGGATTGTTTTGTTTGTTGTTTTAGCCTTTTCCTTATTTTACATTTTTACTTCTATTCTTTTGTATATAGAATTGTACATAAATACCACACTTTTCTTGGAAAACTTGTGTGAGTTCATTACCTGGGACGGGAGACACAGAGGTTCATTGCAGCTCCTTTTTACTTTTATTTCACTTGTTATTCCTCCCCAACCCCTAGACTGAGGCTAGGATGTAACAATTGCAGTCTCTTCTATCAAAGATAACCTATTATGCCCCTTTTTACAAAATGTAATTCTTATTTTATTTATTTATTGCATATGTCTTGGGCGAATATTATTGAAATGAGGGATATTGTGACGTGTATATTCCCAGAAGAAAACTATAATTGAGGCATTTGAGGGAGTTCAGAAACAGTGATGACTGATATTGAGAATAATTTGAAGTGGAATTCGTGCTTTGTAACTTTTCAGATCTTTTTCATGCACAAACAGCAACATTATGCACTAAAGGAAGTTGAAATGCAAAAAAAGTATAATAGGTCCCCTTTAAAAACAATTGGAAACTCTAGTGGAAACTTTTGGTGGAGAATTAAGTGTTTTATTTAAAAGAATGAAATGGAAGTGTTATACGGAAATTCTTATGATTATTTTATCATTTAATTCCTGTTTTATTCTCTCCAAAATAATATAGATTTGTTTCTATGAAGGTCAAAAGTATTGTTAAAATATTGCTCTCAATCGGTTGAGTTAGAGCTAGAGCCTGAAGCGACGTTTGTCCCAGAGACCGAGTCTTTCTCTGTCTGTCCTGAATCTCTTCCTCCTCTGCTGGTCCTGTCTGGCTGGTTGGACATCCCTTTCCCATCCAGAGTCCTTCCTCCTCCGCTGGTCCTGTTGAACTTCCTAGCTCCATCATCTCCAGTCCTCGGGCCTCCGAACCCATGACTCCACCAGGCATGTGATCAGCCAAGGACAAAAAAAGTAGTTAGGAAGATTTGTGTGCAATCACGCAAGGTTAATGGTTGAAGCGATCAGTCAACATTATTGTCAGTGTCGACAATAAAAATATTTTTGTTTTTGAATAGGCGTTTGATCCCATATGACCTAATGTAAGGGCCTACAATAATGCGGTTTGACCAGTTGAGCTATAGCACAAGACTGTAATTCAGCCCTACCGGCTGCTATCCAATAGAAGAAAACATGCTTACGACAAGTGCAAACAAAGTCAAACCAGTAGAGCGTGGCAAAGTTTTACAAAACTACAAACAAAGAAATGCTGTCATGCTGCTGAGGCCTCCACTCCTTAGACCTCTGACTGGGCAGCATTATCAAGTTGTTAGGTGCTCTGTGTGCCTTCTTGATAGCTATTCTTAGCATAGGATGTAGTTTGGCTTCCTCTCATTTTAGAGAGTTGTCATGTTGAGGCTTCAGTCTTTAGAGCTCAAACTTGGCAGTTGTGCCAGGATGTGGGCCTCCTTGGCTACTACCTCCTCTTGCTATGAGAGTCATCTCTTGAGGCCTCCTCTGCCCAGAGCTCTGCCTGAATAGCAATTCCGAGTGGTTAGACTCTTTGCTCTTTTGGTTAGGCCAAGTGGTTAGGCACTCCTTGGAAGCTGTCCTGAGTGTTGAACATCATTAGGCTCTCACTTAGAAAGTTGTCAGTTAGGGAATTGCCTCTGTTTTAGAGCTTGGCTAGGCAGTGGGACTGAGTTGCAGGTTCTATCTGAGCCTCCTTGGTACTCCTGGGTTGGGAGCTTTGTTAGGCCTCCCTTCATTATAGAAAGTCATTCTGTTAAGGCCTCCGCTCCCCTAAGCTCCACCAGGTTATTAGTGTCAAGTTAATAGGCCCGCTATAATGCCTCTTTAACAGACGTAGGATGTAGCTAGGCAGCCTCTTGCCTGAGAGAGTTGTTATGCTGAGGCCTCCGTCCTCTGAGCTCCACTAGGGGCTAAGTTGCTAGGCTCTCTGTGAGCCCCCTTGGCTACTGCCTTTGAAGTGGAATGTTGTTAGGGCTCCTTTCATTATAGAAAGTCGTCCTGCTGAGGCCTTTGCTTCCTAGAATTCCAATGGGATAAGAGTTCTGAGTTGTTAGGCTCTCTGTGATCCTCCTTGGAAAGTTGTCCTGAGTGTAGGGCATAGTTAGGTCTCTTCTCACTTTAGAGAGTCATTATACAGAGGCCTCCATCCTTAGAGCTTGGCCAGGCAATAGTGCCAATTTGTTAGGATCTTTGTGAGCCTCCTTGGATACTGCCTTTACAGAGGAATGTTGTTCTACTCCTCATAGTTCCATGGTGTCAAGTTGTTAGGCTCTCTGTGAGCCTCCTTGATGGCTATTCTTGGCATGGGCATATATGGGGCCTCCTCTTGCATTAGAGAGTTGTCATGTTGAGGCCTCTGTCCTTAGAGCTTGATTGGGCAGTTGCTAGGCCAAGTTGTTAGGCTCTTTGTGAGCCTCCTTTGACACTGCCTTTAATTTTACAGCCTTGCTAAGCCTCCTCTTACTTAAGGCTTCTGCTCCCCAGAGTTCTGTTTGAGTAGCAATTCAGATGTCCTGAGCGTGGAAGGTAGTTAGGCCTCTTCTCATGTTAGTCATTCTTCTGAGGTTTCTGTTACCTGGAGCTCCACCTGCATAGCAGTTCCAAATTATTAGGCTCTGTGAGCCTCCTTGGGAAGTTTACTTGAGCTAGGGGTTGAACCAGATCCCTCTAGGTATAGTGACAGGCAAGGGAAGTAACTACCACATCCCCCAAGGTAACTACCTAGCTAGCATTACCAAACCTTTGAGCTATGTCCTTGGGATGGGCACTGAATCACATGGCCCAGTCAGGAAGGTGTACAAGTTAAGACTTTCCTTGCATAGGGTATGTATGACTTCTTGTAGACCTTCAGCAGCCAGCACAACTTCTTCAATTCTTTCAAACACATCCTGCAAGCCACTGCTGCCATCATCTCTCTGACTGAAATTACGAGACCAAAAATTAAAAATTGCATTACTTGTTTTTAGGAATGTTAGGGACTGACAGAGAGAAATCATTCACTTTATATTAATTTCTCCATAAAATTCAAGCGAACACTGACAGGCTATCAGTTGTCAATATTCTTTGATTGTCCATGATTGTCTTGGACATGTCATATGCTGGAACATGAGGATGAGTAGATGACAACTGACATTGAGATTAACATTCCTGTTATGGTAAACATTAGTCTCCATAACAAATTAAGATCTGTGTTGAGTACTTAATTATTCCTGGTCATTAGAAGTAGTATGTACTGTACTTGTGGGGGGAAAAAGCTGTATTGTACCTAGGCCTCTTTCATTTGCTCTTGTTGAAATCTTAGAAATTCCTCCTCTGAAACAGCAAGTTTTTGCGAGCATTTTGCTTCCAGTATAGTGAATGTAAGTGTATATACAGGCACGTGCACACATAGACATCAAAGGGGGCTTGAGCACCTGCCCTTTTTCTTCCTCTAGAGAAAGTGCCTTTTTTTCCGAGGGTTTTTTATTTTTATTTTTTATAAATGAATATATGTATTATGTGTGCGTGTGTTTCTGTTTGCGCACAGCTTTCCCTGTCAAACAAATAAATCAAAATATCAGGACAGGACGGGAAATGTTGAGACTCTGTCGAGTTCCAATGCCTTTCTCCCCTCCGCATCTCCACGCAGCACAGCAGTGTAGCACACATTGATCGGCACATGCGCATCACAGACAGGCAGAGAGCCATAGAAGTGAAGCCCTCCCTCTCTTTCCAGTTGTTTGTCTTGGTGTAGAGGTGAGTGGTGATGAA